TAAATGATTATTAGATTAGCTTTAGTGATGTCACCATTTGTCAATATAAACTGCTACTCTATAAAAAATAACCTTTTTCAAAGTGATTTGTAACTTATCTGTTATTTTGTTTAGTTGTCATTTTAAAACATCACAATTGCATGAAATACTATCCTTACTTCATATGTGCAGAAAATGGACAAGAGAAAAATTAGGTAACCAAGGTTGTAAGAGGCAGGACTGGGGCTTGGATAAGTTTCCTACATTTGCATTCTGTGTCTTTCTCACAACTTCATTTAATCGATTAGTTAAATGAAACTCAATAAAAAGGTTAAAGGTAAAATGAAAAGACCAAACTCTCAGCAGTTATGTGATGCATATTAAAAAGAAATACTCACTTCCTAAAACTCCCATCTGTTTACCTCTCTTGAGCTATTTATGGATACATAGTTTTATGTAATATCTTTATAAATTAGACTTTGTTTTAAAATTACCACTACTGTTATAGTAATATCCAAAATGTTTTGCAGTGTTCACATTTGTCATTTCTCATAGCCATATTTATTCCATTGCATTAGTATACCATTTTCCCCCACAGATAGACATTTGGGCTATTTCTAGATTTTAGCTCTTAATATACAGCTGCAACTATAAATATCTTTGTAAAAAATATTTTTCTTTTGAATTATTTCTTTGTGAGACAGTGATGGGAATGCTGGGTTGGAAGCTGTCCTGTAACAACTTTTCTTGACAGAATTCCTTTCTGGAAGACTGTACGAGCAGGCCACCAGCAATATGTAAACAAACCCAAACCCTTTTATCAAACCAAAGCTAGCATGTGATTTTTCCACTTAATAGATGAGAGGTGGTACTTTATTAATTGTTTTAATGTGCATGTTTGTAAACTCTCATTGTTTCAGGATGTTTCTGCAGTGTTTATCATGTGAGCACTGTGTGCCTGTTCTTATCTGCTATTGGATATTGATGACTGGGTATTGGAGACAGGCTGTTATCCTGATAGATTTTTATCAGTCCCCTAAAAGCTTTAGGGATAAAACTTGTACTCATAGCATTAATTGTTAGCCTTCCCCTACTATGTTACTTTCATTTTATTCTTTTTTTTTCTTCTATGCAGTATTTGAAATTTAAATACTTAAAAACCTTCTAGTTAAAATCTTTTAAATTTACTCTTTCATTTTGGGAGAATATATTATACATATTATGATATGAGATGAGAATTTTTTGCTCTATTGATATCCAGTTTTATCAAAAGCATTATTATTTTAATGACTATTTTTTATCTTTACCAAAATATTACATTGTAGAAAAATTGGTAAATACATAAAAACACACACAAAAAAGGAAAAACATCCAAAGTTGGCTACCCAAAGTTGACTATTTTACAGTCTATTCTTCTAGGCGTGTATATTTTTCTTCTCTTTTCTTTCTAGTAAGGCTGGGGGATGTTATACAAACCCAACAGCCCTAATTAAGTAGTGATTTCTTTCCTTACTTTACTTTGTTGCGTATTAAATTCATATCAGTTTGGGTCATTCCTGGCAAAGATTGACATGAAATAATGGATATATAAAAATCAAAATGTCTACATGGAAAAAATACTATAAAGTAAAAGAAAATAGTAAATTAGGGAAAGATTGACATCACAGAATATGTAAAGAGCCTTTACAAACACACAAGTAAAAGACCATAAGCCTAATAGGAAGAGGGACAAAGGACATTGATGAGCATTTCACAGAAGAAATGGCTTTCAGACACGACCAGATATTCAGTCTTAGCCATAATTAGAAAAAATACATGTTTGAACAACAGAGAGGAATCTTTTTTTGCTTCTTAGAATGGCAAAAGATAAAAAGAAAATTTTAAAAGTTTTAAAGGAAAGATATACCCGTCTGAATGCAGAGTTCCAAAGAATAGCAAAGAAAGATAAGAAAGCCGTCCTTAGTGATCAATGCAAAGAAATAGAGGAAAACAATAGAATGAGAAAGACAAGAGATCTCTTCAAGATATTAGAGATACCAAGGGAACATTTCATGCAAAGATGGGCACAATAAAGGACAGAAACGGTATGAACCTGACAAAAGCAGAAAATATTAAGAAGAGGTGGCGAGAATACACAGAACTGTACAAAAAAGATCTTAATGACCCAGATAACTATGATGGTGTGATCACTCACCTAGAACCAGGCATCCTGGAGTCCAAAGTCAAGTAGACCTTTGAAAGCGTAACTACAAACAAAGCTAGTGGAGGTGATGCAATTCCAGCTGAGCTATTTCAAGTCCTAAAAGATGATGCTGTGAAAGTGCTGCACTCAATATGCCAGCAAATGTGGAAAACTCAGCAGTGGCCACAGGACTGGAAAAGGTCAGTTTTCATTCCAGTCCCAAAGAAAGGCAATGCCAAAGAATGTTCAAACTATTGCACAATTGCACTCGTCTCACAAGCTAGCAAAGTAATGCTCAAAATTCTCCAAGCGAGACTTCAATGATGTTGAAGCGTGAGCTGAGAACATCCAGATGTTCAAGCTGGATTTAGAAAAGGCAGAGGAACCAGAGATCAAATTGCCAACATCCATTGGATCATAGAAAAAGCAAGAGAATTCCAGAAAAACATATACTTCTGCTTTACTGAATATGCCAAAGCCTTTGACTGTGTGGATCACAACAAACTGTGGAAAATTCTGAAAGAGATGGGAATACCAGATCACCTGACCTGCCTCCTGAGAAATCTATATGCAGGTCAAGAAGCAAGTTAGAACCGTACGTGGAACAATGGACTGGTTCCAAATAGGGAAAGGAGTATGTCAAGGCTGTATATTGTTACCCTGCTTATTTAACATCTGTGCAGAGTACATCATGTGAAATGCCAGGCTGGATGAGGCACAAGATTGCTGGGCGAAATATCAACAACTTAAGATATGCAGATGACACCACCCTTATGGCAGAAAGCAAAGAGGAACTGAAGAGCCTGTTGGTGTAAGTAAAAGAGGAAAGTGAAAAAGCTGGCTTAAAATTCAACATTCAAAAAAAATGAAGATCATGACATCTGGTCCCATCACTTCAGGCAATTAGATGGGGAAACAATGGAAGCCGCGACAGACTTTATTTTCTTGGGCTCCAAAATCACTGCAGATGGTGACTATAGCCATGAAATTAAAAGATGCTTACTCCTTGGAAGAAAAGCTATGACCAACCTAGACAGCATATTAAAAAGCAGAGACATTATTTTGCCGACAAAGGTACATCTAGTCAAAGGTATGGTTTTTACAGTAGTCATGTACAGATGTGAGAGCTGGACCATAAAGAGTGCTGACGAATTGATGCTTTTGAACTGTGGTGTTGGAGAAGATTCTTGAGAGTCCCTTGGACTGCAAGGAGATCAAACCAGTCAATCCTAAGGAAAATCCGTCCTAAATATTCATTGGAAGGACTGATGCTGAAGCTCCAATACTTTGGCTACCTGATTCGAAGAACTGACCCATTGGAAAAGACTCTGATGCTGGGAAAGACTGAAGGCAGGAGGAGAAGGGTATGACAGAGGATGAGATGGTTGGATGGCATCACTGACTCAATGGACATGAGTTTGAGCAAGGTCTGGGAGTTGGTGATGGACAGGGAGGCCTGAGGTACTGCAGTCCATAGGGTCACAAAGAGTTGGACACAACTGAGCGACTGAACTGAACTGAAGATCATGAAAAATAAGGAAAGACTGAAAAACTACTATTAGACCAGAGGAGACTCAGGAGACATAACTAGATACAATGTGGGTACTAGATGCAATCCTGGGAAGATCTGTCCTGTGACTAGTTTTGTGTAAGTCTTCCTGTGAGCATATGTTTTCAGTTCTTTTGAGTAATGGACTGTAGCCTGCGAGGCTCCACTGTCTGTGGAATTCTCTAGGCAAGAATACTAGAGTGGGTAGCCATTTCCTTCTCCAGGGTATCTTCCTGACCCAGGGATTGAATCCAAGTATCCTGCACTGGGGCTTCCCCGGTGGCTCAGAGATTAAAGCGTCTGCCTGCAATGCGGGAGACCCGGGTTCGATCCCTGGGTCAGGAAGATCCCCTGGAGAAGGAAATGGCACCCCACTCCAGTACTCTTGCCTGGAGAATCCCATGGACGGAGGAGCCTGGTAGGCTACAGTACAGTACAGTACAGTACATGGGGTGGCAAAGAGTCGGACACAACTAAGCGACTTCACTCACTCACTCCCTCACTCATCCTGCATTGCAGGCAGATTCTTTACTGTCTGAGCCCCTATGAAAGCCTCAATTGCTAGGTCATAGAGTAGGTGTATGTTTAGATCAATAATAAACTGCCAGACCTTTCTCCAAAGTGGCTGTACCATTGTCATCTCTCACCAAGAATGTAGGAGAGTATCTTGTTAGACTTCAAAATATATACATATACAAGAAGGATTTCCTCATATTTGGGGGGTATAAACCTCTCAATCAAATATATATTTTGAGAATACTTTCTCCCAGACTGTGGCTTGTGTATTCATTTTGATGGGCAGAAAATTTTAATTTTGATAAAATCTAATTTGTTGGATATTTCTTTTGTATTATTGCTTTGTGTATCTTAAGAAACTATTGTCTACTTTGAGTCACAGAGCTATTTTTATATTTTTTCTTCTGACAGCTTTAGAGTTTTAGATTTTATGTTTAAATCTGTGATCTATTTTTAATTAATTTTTTTGTATAGTGTGAGGTAGGGATATTTTCCACATGGCTAGCCAGTGGTACCAGTACTCTTTGTCACCCTTGTTCTGTTAGATTGCTTTGGTATCACTATGGACACTGTAAAGCACAGGTTGTTCTTCTCGGCCCTCTTGATTATCCTAGTGTGGAGAGAGAAGAGTTATCTCTTTCATATCTCCTAATCCCTTCACTTCTATCCAGATATTTTCTGGATGTTCCTGAGTCCTGACTCATAAGCCCAGGGCGTTTTCTGTGGTTGTCAGTGAGTTGTAGTGACTGGATTATCTCCTCTGTCTGAACACAGGATGGCCAGTGTAGCAGTAAAGGAACGAGTGAAGATATCTCAGAACTGGAGGTTGGGGCGCTGCCGAGAGGGGATTCTGCTGAAGTGGAGATGCAGGTAAGTAGCCTCTTGACTCCTTTAAAGCTCCCTGGGACATAAAAGCATACTGGGAATGAAAAGTCTAGCCCGAGCTGGAGTATAAATGTGCCTGACTTGGGTGATGAGCCAGGAGTGATTCTTTAAACACCACAAAGGGGGCATCAGAAGGACAACTTTTTTTCACATCTAAAAAAAGATTACCCCCCAAAAATGTACTTTAATTTAACAGAGCCTGTATTTTTATGATTATAAAAATAATAAATGTTTATTGTAGAAATTTGAAAAAAATAGAAAAAGTTAAAGAAGAAAATAAACTTATCTAAATCCTACCACTCAGAAGTAACCTCTGTTAATACACCTCATCAAAAGAAAGAAATGAAGCCAATACTCCACCTCATCTTGTTTTACAATTAAAAAAAAAAAATGTTCTACTCTAGGGAGTTACACCTTCCCTCTTGGCTTCCTGTGGTGCTCTCCCCTACTTTTATTAAAAAGCTAAATAGGATCTGAAGGTTTGGATATATATGTTATAGGAGGCAGAGCTTAGAAAAAAATGGCAGGAGATTTAAATAATGGCTTTGGCACTGCTAATGCCACAGATTTTATACCTCACTGATGCTAAATTATTCCAGTTATTATTTGATTACTCACCAAAAAGTACTCCTTGTTGATTGGTTGGAATGGACAAGGAACAGCATGATTCCACATTCCAGTTGACCTGGACCTCTGCTCATAGGGCCAGGCAGTCTTCTTCATGTGATGAAGAAGGGTCCAGTTTTGCTTGTGTCCAACTTCTGCTGCTTTCACTGACAGGAGTTCCTGTGAATTATGTGGTGGTAGTGATGGTAAAGAAACTCAGGGGAAGAAAGATGAATTTGTATGACAAAGGGCTTTACCTTCTGCTTCCTATTTGCCTTTTATTACCAGAAGGAAGAGTTTATTTCTCTATCAAGATTTTGCTCCTGATGTCTTTTTGGGCTGGTTTCAAGCAGTGTGGCAAATAAATACACAAAATGGTTACTAGGCTGCCCCGGGATTCTCCACTGTTCACCTGGCATGAACCTGGTTTCTTGTGCTGGGCAAATGGCTATTTACCAGATGGCTCTAAACACATGAATTCCAAACCCTTCTGTTTGTTGCCCACTTGAGTATGCCACAAACTTGTGCAAGGGAATGTTGAAGAAGAATGTGCATAATGAATGAGAGTGCAGGCATCTGTACCCTATACATGTTCCATATAATATATGCACACACTTGTTAAAACCTCATGTGTAGAAACTAGTTGCTACAAAGTCCAAGCTGCATTTAATGGTCCGTCAAGTCAATTTGCAGAACTTTTGTACGTTCCCATGACGCTTGTATTAAGGAGTCTGGGGAAGAAACACAGCCCAGTTTGCTCAGACAGACTTGGCAGTGGGAGATGGTGTCTCTATAAATGGGGGTGAATCATCTGCCCCTGTGCTTTGCTTGGGACCTGGTAGCTCCAGGACCCCTCCTACACCCCTGTGGTGTAGGACAGGCTGTGGGGATGTACCTTGGGAAAGGAGCTTAGTCCCCACCAGAGAGCATGGTGTCTGGCAGAGTCCTCTTTGTTTTTAAGGCTCACTCAATGTCGTGGGACTGGTCTGTGGCTTCCAGTGTTTCTTCCTCCTGCCAGATTGTGGTTAGAATCTTTTAACTGTTTGTGGATTTCTCTTATCAACTTTCTGTGAGAGCCAGTCTTTTCTCTGTAGTCACTGTACTACTGTAGTAACTGTAGTACACTGGTCTGGAGCTGTGTTTTGCCATTGCCATACTTAGCCTCTAGTACAGAAACTTAGATATCCTCTGAGAGGATCTAGGTATTTAATCAGTACATTAGCATCCTTTCCTAAATGGCTTTATTCCTTTCACTTAAAAATGGCCCCTTTGCTCTAGTAGGACAAGGGAATGGGGCTTCCCTGGCTCACTCTTCTCTTTTCTCTATCACACCCTAACTGATCTATTGGGAAAAAGGTGTGTATGGGAGTCTTGGAATCTTGAAACTTACCGCTTAATCTTCAGATCAATGAGGGCACAGAATAAAAGAAAACTATTTCATCTGAGTGGAAGATTTCTTTTTGCTCTTTCCCACCACTTAATTATTGCTTTTTTTGGGGGGGGGGTGCTCTGTCTACTCAAGAAGTCTATAGGTAGCCAGTAATTCAAGTCTTAAACATTATCCATTTATTTATTTATTTAGGCACCATGGGTAGCTGGGCTTCCTGGTGGCTTAGATAGTAGAGAATCCTTCTGCAGTGCAGGAGACCTGGGTTCAATCCCTGGGTCGGGAAGATCCCCTGGAGAAGGGAATGGCTACCCAGTCCAGTATTCTAGCCTGGAGAATTCCAAAGACAGAAGGTCCTGGCAGGCTACAGTCCATGGGGATCACAAAGAGTCAAACACAACTGATCAACTAACACTTTCACTTTCACATGGGTAGCTAGGGGATAGTTCCCTGACCAGGGATTGAACCCTAGGGCCTTAGCAGTGAAAGTACCGAGTCCTAATCACTGGACCACCAGGGAACTCCCAAGCATTCTCCTTTTAAAAGTGACATTAAATGGGTCTTTTATTCTGACTTTCTTTTAGAAAGTCCAAAGAAGATAAGTAAGTAAGTAAATGAAAGTTGCTCAGTCATGTACAACTCTTTGTAACCCCATGAACTATACATCCATGGAATTCTCCAGGCCAGAATACTGGAATGGGTAGCCTTTCCCTTCTCTAGGGGATCTTCCCAACCCAGGGATCAAACCCAGGTCTCCTGCATTGTGGGTGGATTCTTTACCAGCTAAGCCACAAGGGAAGCCAAAAGAAGATAGGGTCACCACAAAGCTTAATCACTTTAGTTTTCTATGGAAATAGTGATAAAGAAGATATTTCTAGGGAAATAGTGATAAAGAAGATAGAGTCACCACAAAGCTTAAATCACTCTAGTTTTCTAGGGAAGCCTAAGGGTAGGTAGCAGTTTTGGAGGAGGGGAGTGAGATACAGACTTAGGCTTACAGGTAATGCTAAGTTGGGGATTGGTCAGCCTTTCTAAAGACTGAAGTTGAATTTTCCTGCTATATCTTGATGATTCTTAAATTTTGTTTTTTATCTCTGTAGTCAGATGCCCTGGATGCAGCTAGAGGGTGATTCTCTGTACATATCCCAGGCTAATTTCATCCTGGCCTATCAGTTCCGCCCAGATGGTGCCAGCTTGAACCGGAGGCCCCTGGGAGTCTTTGCTGGACATGATGAGGACGTTTGCCACTTCGTGCTGGCCAACTCGCATATTATCAGTGCAGGAGGGTAAGTGCTGCAGGCTTCTCCTTCCTTCCTCCTCAGTATTCTTCAGAGACCTTCTGCCTGCCTCTGACTTTTCTGTCTCTACTCCAAAAGGATGAGTAGGGTGACTAGAAGAAGGGGTAATGTTTTTTTTTTCCATTTAAAGCAGGTACTTAATAGGGTAAGCTGGAAAAGGAAAACAGGAAGAACCTTTAATGAAAAGGGAAACTGGTTTTGATACTCTCAAGGGGGAGATTTGTTTTGTCTCTCAGCTTTCTTCAGCCCCAAGTGTACTGAAGAAGTAAAGGTATCTAGAAACTCAGCAGCTTATTGGGCTGAATTGCCTAAAACTTAGCAAATTGGAAGTCACTGGAGATTTGGGCTGTTTCTATAGACTTGTTCTCTTCCTGCAGAGAAAGTAATTGGCTCTCAGGGGTTGGCTTCTTATTTCTCTCCTAGAGATGGGAAGATTGGTATTCATAAGATTCATAGCACCTTCACTGTCAAGTACTCGGCCCATGAACAGGAGGTGAACTGTGTGGATTGCAAAGGGGGCATCATTGTGAGTGGCTCCAGAGACAGGACAGCCAAGGTGAGATCTCCTCCTTACATACTGCTATTCCCTCCTGTCTATAGGGAGTGGGGAGGGAGGGGGTGGATAGGAGCTTGAGTTTCAGGATTGGCGGAGGGCATCGAGTTGGGGCAGCACGGGAACGGCACAATAAAGAACTCACTTATGTGCCTCTGGCATGCAGCTTGCCATGCCAGGCTGTGTCCCTGCCAGCTGGCCTGGGAAAGGAGTGGACAGTGGCTGGGAAGTTTGCCACTCACTTGAAATGTGGCGTGAACTCAAAAACAGAGGGCCTGGCCAGCTTTTTCCTCCATGAGCTGAGTTTCCTAAAGTTTGTGGGTTGAGTTCTAACCCCAATATTTTATTTTAAAATCTCCTACCTTTTGCTCACTCTTTGTTTGGGAAGGTTAATTTTTTACCACCTTGTTTATAAGGAATCAGGCTGATAATTAAAATGTATTTTTACTGCTTCTCTGGAGAGTGATGTGGTCAGTAAGCAGTGGAAAGACAATGAGAGGAGGGCATTGTTTGCTGTGTCATTGCCAAGTTGCCTGGTCTAAACGCAGACATCTGCCAAGGCCCAACAGAATGAGACTGATAAGTAGCCTGACCCCTGCTTTATGGACTCAGCTCCTTTATGTCTGGGTTAAATAGGCTTCCACATGAGAGACAGAGAAGAACTTTCTCCATCTCTGTGTCCTGTGGCCCTTGCCAGGGCTCACATATGCCTGATCCTTTGGGGCTGCTGTGGGAACTTTGCTGACAATTCAGTTGATGGTACAGGAAGTTTGATAGGTTCGTGCTTGTGTGTTTCCCAGCATCTGGAGACTCCACATTGCTAACAGGAGCAAAATGCTTATCCATGTCAGCTAATGGGGCTCTAAGACACATGGGACAGAGGACTCAGGAGAGAGAAGTTGCAGTCTTTACTAACTTTTCTGACTCATTTTCTCTTTATTGATTATACCTTCATGTAAAAATGTTGCTAATTTATGTAAAAAGGACTAAATAATGTTCCTTTCTATTTATGGAAATTTCTCCTCCTTTGCTAATTTTTTTTCTTACACTTTGTATTCTGTCAGAGAAATGTGCTCATCAGCACAGGGAACCTGAGAAAAATTCAGAAAATCTTTCAAACCAACATGGAAACTGAATTTCTTTTATCCGAATCCTCCACCCCATACTTATTTCACATTTCTGATTGGTCACCATCTTTGTACCATTCCTTGCAAAAAGAATAGCCTTAATTTTGCTATACTTCTCAGAAGACAATTTCCTTAGACACCTTTTGTACATGTGTGACCTAGATATTCTTGTCTCATTCTAGCATTGTATTGTCATGGCTTCAATTTTCTCTGTGAAACCTTCAGTGGTATCTCTTTTTTCCATTCATTTCTCTGTATTCTGCCTCCCAGAGCAGTATACAACTAAGTTTTATGACCATATGTAGCAATTCGTGGTATAGACTGATTATAGTTGAAGATTGACAGCAATTATACTTGGAATATTGGGTTAGTTCCATGTTTTAAGTACAACTATTTAGTGTTTTAGAGTTTTTAAGCATTAAAATCAGTACTCTCTAATTCTCAAATTGTCACTATAGTACATTCCTATTCCTTTCGAAGATTTCTTTTTAGTCAGTGACAGAATTCTTCTCTTGGTTCAACTCCAGGAAGCTAGTCAGCTATTTTGGGCCTTCCCAGTGACCTCCAGGCCAGCTCATCTTTTCTGACTTTCAGTATTCCCCTCCTTACATTGTTTTCTTTGCATTTACCCACTTTCATCTTCTGGACCATTTTCATGTTACCCACAGTTAGCCTTTTATAACTGACTCTCCATTTCTTTTTGGTGGCATCTGTAATTCTCCAGCTGCTTCTACAGGTTTCTAAAACCTGAACCTATATAAGAACTTAGTCATGTTCATCTGTAAACATCTATAGACCCCTGACCCTGACCCAAGTTTCAGAATTACTGTGACTTAGCTTGGATTGCCTCTCTGGACTGACTTTAGTGAGACTGGCTCCATCCTGAGATGTGATAGAATGGTAGCTTACATTCTTGCTGGGTCTGGGCCAGGGCTGATCATTTGTTCATTTTTTTCCTTTTGTCTTCATTCTGATGAGTGCCTACTCTATGTGAGGCTTCAAAGGGGAAGAAGATAGTCTTTCTTTAAGGGGAACTGAGACTGCATGCACTGGCTATGAAGCTGGTTGGAAGTGGCCAGGTTTATGAAGTTGTAAGGCTCTAGGGAAAGGGCCAGAAAATTTCTACTTTAGAGGGTTTACATCTGACTTGGAAGGGGAGATTTTATGAAGAAGGGAACATTTGAACTGTTTGTGTTTTTTTTTTTTTCCATCTTTTAGGTGATTTTCAGTGCATAGGTTTGCTTTTTTTATTTTATAATAACATAGAATGTACAGGCACTGTGCTAATAAGCCCTTTACATTTATTCATTTTCTCATTTTATTCTTTAGTGTAATTTTCCCCCACATAGTTATGGTCATAATATATCTATTTTTAAATTAATTATTATTGGAGTAGAGTTGATTTACAGTGTCGTGTTAGTTTCTGCTGTATAGCAAAGTGAATCAGTTGTACATATATTTATATCCCCCTTTTTTTAGATTCTTTTCTCATATAGGTCATTACAAAGCACTGAGTAGAGTTCCCTGTGCTATATATGTGGTGGGTGTTTATTAGGTGTCTGTTTTTCATATAGTAGTGTGTATGTGTCAATCCCACCTTCCCCCCACGTCCCCCTTGGGAACCATTAGTTTGTTTTCTATGTCTGTGACACTATTTCTGTTTTGTAAATAGGTTCATTTGTACCATTTTTTAGACTGTACATACAAGTATTATGATATGATATTTATCTTTTTTCTGTCTGACTTACTTCATTTAGTATGACAGTCTCCAGGTCCATCCATGTTGCTGCAAATGGCATTATTTCTTTCTGTATTATGACTGAGTAATATTCCATTGTATGAATGTACCACTTTATCCCTTCCTCTGTCGGTGGATATTTATGTTGCTTCAATGTCTTGCCTATTGTGAATAGTGTACAGTGAACATTGGGATACATATATCTCTTCAAATTATGGTTTTTTCTGGATCTGTGCCACAGTGGGATTGCTAGATCATATGATAGCTCCATTTTTAGTTTTTTTATGAAACCTCCCTACTGTTCTCCATAGTGGCTGAACCAACTTACATTCTTACCAATAGTGTAGGAGGGTTCCCTTTTCTCCACAACCTCTCTAGCGTTTATTGTTTGTAGATTTTTTTTGATGATGGCCATTCTGACTGGCGTGAGGTGAAACCTCATTGTAGTTTGTTTTGCACTCCTTCCTTGATAGCTGGGTTGGTAAAAAATCCGCCTGCAATGTAGGAGACCTGGGTTTGATCCCTGGATTAGGAAGATCCCCTGGAGAAGGGAAAGGCTATCCACTCCAGTATTCTGGCCTGGAGAATTCCATGGACTGTATAGTTCATAGGGTTGCAAAGAGGTGGGCACGATTGAGCGACTTTCACATAGTGTATCTTATGTGTCCAATATACCCTGCTGTGTCTACTTTATTTTTTTAGGTTTTCTATTATTATTATAAATTATTGGTCATCTTTAATGGCTTCACAATGGAACTTATAATTTAGTTATTATTTTTCCTATTGGATATTTATATCTAGCTTTTCCTATAGCAATAAGAACCACCATTATTGATGCCTAATGCCTGCCAAATACTGTACTCCTGTGCTAGGTGCTTTACACTTACCTTCACTTTTCCACAGTGCAACCCTAAGAGATAGGCATCACTTCCCATTTTATACATGAGAAAACTGAGGCTAAGAAGTTATAAAATATTCCTAACATCAGAGATACATAAGTAGAAACTAGAGTTCAAACCCAGATTTGTCTGATTCTAAAGCCCTTATGTGCTCTTCCTGCTAATGCAGCTGCAGGGAATATTTTTATCATTTATGTTTTTCTTCATTGTAGGATTATTTTCCTAGGATAGAGTCTCAGCATTAGAATTATTGGTTTCAAGGCTTTGGTCATTTTAAGGGTGCTTATACATATTGCCAGTTGTTTTATAAAAGGACTGTATATATATCCACTTGCACTGAGTTATATCTTCTCCAGGGATGAGTCTGTTTGGATTTGACCACTGAAGGTTAAGATGTAATCAGCATACTCATGTTTTGGTAGATGGTGTGCTTCTAGTGCAGGTCAAGAGGGCCACTTTCCCTATATTGTGCTTGAGAAATTGCAGCATGCTTCTGGAGCCACTCCTGGGAACCAGGAACTTTGTTTTGTGGTTTTTCACAGTGGGATCTATCAGCCTGTTCAGTGAAGGACTCTAGTGAATTCTGGCCTTGAGCTGTACTCATAGATTTTGTAATCACAGTCTTTAGTGTCTCCCCACCCATCCCCAACAAGAACCTGTCTCCTCAGGAGTTTGCATCAGGGAAGAGGCAAACTTCTCTTCCAAGCTGAGCCGATCTGAAAGAGGACATTAAATGCATCTAGTTACTACCAAAGTGACTTGATCCAAAAGAATGAGCCAAAATCATGGCATTCCAGGAAAAGTTGTGGAATTGACCTTTGTTTTCTGCCCTTCTTCATTCAGTATCTTCTTATTAAATTTATTTTCTTTTCCCTATGTTGGGAAAAGTAACTCACACCCTCCTCGCCCTATCATAGACACACAAAACCTAAGAAACACTTTCTCCTTTTTAGAGAAGAGATATGTGATCCTAAGAAGTCAGGACCACCCCCACTCCATCACCTACCCCTTAAACTCAAGGAATGTTTCCTGAGAGTTCTTCCATCTAAGGTCCTGACTGACTTTCATGTGTTCCCCTTATAGCACCACAGGGACCTTGAGAGGTCACTGATCCATCTGGCTGCCTCAGGATCCCTCCTCGGTTGCTGTCTGGGGACAGCCGTGTACATCTGAGGTTTCCTCTCTGTTTGGTTAGAGGCTTAGTCCCCTGTGTGTGTCATCTAGGCTAGGGTGTGGTGAGGGGGCCTTGTGCTTAATGGGAGATTTCTAAATGCATTGACCGCTGAGAGGGCTCTGTGAGTGTTGATTAGAGTTAAGCCCAGAGTGGCTGCTAATGTACATTCCTGACTGATAGGGACCAGATAATGTGCTCCAAGCAATATTTTTAACCTGTAGGAGATATGGAAGCTTAAAAGAGTTAAGCTTTTTTGCTACTTTTGGTGACACTAGGTGCTAAATTCCCTGCTGACATGAATAGCACTGGATTCTGGGTATTATCAACAAACAAACAACAACACACACCTTCCCACTTTGAAGTCCTCTTCTTCAATTCTCCCTTCCCTTGGATCTTTCTCTTTTACTCCTGTCTCTCTAATTCTACTCTAATTCTGTCTCTGTTCTCTCATACTGGGCCTTGATCTTCTTCCCTCTACCTGCCTCTCCAAAGTAAAATCTTGGTGACAGATAGGAAAAGGAAAACCCACAAACACAGGAAGGTTACTGAGAGAGGTGAGCCTCCCCTGCTAATAGCTTCTCAGTCGGATCCCAGTTGAGGAACGTGATACTGATTCCCTAGTATAGAATTGGCTGCTGCTCAAGGGTTCTCAGGTGGAAGTGAGAGGGTGGTTAGGATTTGGAGCTGATGTCTCTCCAGGTGGTAGGTAAGGCAGAAGCTGGAGAGGCCCCTCTGTGCTCCCCAGAGCTCTGTGTGTGCAGGACAGAAAGATTCTCCGTTCCCACACCCGCTTGGGACAGGGACTCTACCTGGTGCATCTTTCCAGCCCCCCAACCCGATCCCAGGCAATGCCAACGAGAGCATCTCCTCTCCTGTTTCCAGGTATGGCCTTTGGCCTCAGGCCGGCTGGGGCAGTGCTTACACACCATCCAGACTGAAGACCGAGTCTGGTCCATTGCTATCAGCCCATTGCTCAGGTAAGGGAGATGTTTTGGGGTATGATTTTGTCCTGTGAAATAATGCTTTTATTTTACAAAGCAGGTGGGCATCATCAGGAGAGGCTTGGGGCCCATGTCCACTTGGGCGTGTGTGCAAAGTCATGTTTGTGGAGTAGATTCATTGACAAATGTAGCAGAAGTGCCGATTTTGATGGTGGCTTTATCTTATGCTTTGGCCTGACTGCTGTTTCTCTAGTTTTACCTGTGACTAAGTGAGCTTTGCATCCTGACTTCTGCTTTCTAGGCTTTCTTAAACCGAGGCAGAGCCTCTCCCCAAGCAGGGTACATGGACGCCCTCTCTGCACCTGCTTTATCAGAGTGTTTGCCTGGTGTCTTCTCCCACTTCCTTTACCCTTCACTCCCCACCGAATGATCAATGGGAAAGCTGTAGGGCTGACACCCTCCAGTGTCAGGTTTAAGTCAGTCACTTGTTTTAGGAGAGAGTTGGTCCCCCTCTTTGCTCAGCTCCCTTCAGCCTTTTTCTTCTCACCCCAAGGAGGCTGCACCCCTCCTCCTGCCCTTCCACAGCTCTCTTTCAAATTTTTTTTCTTCCTAAAGAATTAGAGCCGATTAGCCACGTCATTAATTCTTCAATTTGACGGCTGATATAGCAGGACCTGAAACACATTGCTGACCTCAGAGCATGGAGACCCCATTCCTTAGCATATTGACGATGAGAGAAGTTAATTAAAATTCCACAGAGCGGAGGTGTCAGCTAACCTATAAACCTGTCGCTGTTCGGAACAAATCATTCTAGCAATCCTCAGAAAAAGGGAAGGAAAGAGCAGCAGGGAGTAGAGAGGCCTAAGTGTGTGGGAGCCAAGGGTGGAAAATGGAGCTGTTGGGCTCTGGCCCCTCCTCAGTTTCTTCCTAACGCTGCCCCCTTTAAAGCCAGTTAGCCAAGCTTGGGTGTCTGTGGGCTGGATATGTATAAGGGCGGGAAGTGACAGGTGAGCTGGTGACTTCATCTTGGTGCTTACCTGAGGACTTATGCTGGCTTCAGTTGATGGGTGGGCTGGGGTGCGATTGGTGGCGGAGGGATGCTCTTCAGGCTGGAGATGGCCCATGTGCTTCCTGCACGTGGATTTAGGCCAAAGACATGTACAGGCTCCCCAGTATCCCCATCTTCGTATTCCTCTACTCCTGCCACCTCCTCTGGAGTGTGTTAGGCTATCTGTTAACAGGATAGAGCATGGTAGCTGTTGAAGATGATGTTGATAAGAGAGGTTGAAGACAGAGTCTGCCTTTGTCACTAAGCAGTTTTGATCACAATAAACTGATTTTGGGTTTTGTTTTTGTTTTTTTTTGGCCACAACTTGGAAGCTGGATTTGAGGAAAGATCTAGCTTCTTAATATTACTAGCTCTGCTCTATAACCACCACTGCTACCAGCAGCTAACATTTATTAGTCATGTGTTCTATGCCAGACCCTTTGCCAAGTCCTTGATAGGCAAAACTGAGGTCTCATGTTTTCCTTGCATTCTCCTTAAGAGTTTTCTTGGTGTCCTTACATCTTGTCCTCTTGGTGTGCTTTCTTGCCCCGGGATGATTCCTTCACTCACTGTTGAGATGAACTTTTTCCCAAGTCCACAAATGATGTTTTGGACTATTTTAAAAAGTAGTTTGCATTAGGGATATTGTTGTTTTACTAAATGACCAGAGTATATGTTGATATTCTCTCTGCTGCTTTTTGTCTTACCCCCAAAATATATTGGGATAGGGATTTTTCATCTTAGCATTAGATCCATTTCTTTTTACTCTGTCAGTGAATCTGAATCTTTCAGTAAACTCATACATTTTCCCAACCTGGAAAGACATTACCTCCTAGGTGGAGGGCCTGCTCTGGAAATCTGAAATTCTGCTTTGCCACTGGCAGAGTGGCCTTGGGTAAATGCTTGAAGCCATGGTTTCCTCATCTGTTAAATATTAATACCATTTCTTTCATAATCCTTACTAGGTTATTGTGAAGATGATCTGAAATAATGAATGTGAAAATACTCTACAGAGCTTAAAAGGCTAGAATCTTATGTCAGCCAGAATATCTCCTGCCTGGTAAAGCATTTGTTTAGCGGCTTTGACTACTCTCGTGTCTCACCCTTCCCTCGGCTTCTCCTGGCCCTTGTGGAGTTACACTGCTCTTTTGCAGTCTTCTTAAGGTGAGGACTCAGCAGGAATCTCTTTCCTTTCCTTTTCCCCCGTGGGGTTCCTGCTCTCCATGGCTGCCTTCTGTTCCCCTCCCAGCCACCTTTCCTGTTGAGTGTGGTCGTCATTGTCACACATGTGTTGTGGCCATGATCCCCGTTGTGAGGAGCATGTGAGCAGGTGGGCAGCAGCCGTCCTCCAGGGTAGGTGCTCCTCACCGGCCTGACAACAACTCATTCCCCCACGGCTCCTTCATGTAGTGAGAAGGAACCTGGTCATTTGGGAGACCCAGCACATCTCATTCTCTTTCTTCTATTTAAAATAACCTGTCAGAGCTATTCATCATGTTTATCTTTGATGCTGGGACTTATCTGCCTTCTTTTCCTGTGTGTGTACTTAGAAACTTGTAGTATGAAATGTGAAACCTCAAGCCCTAGGCTTAATTTGAGGTGTTCATGACTGAGAGAAAGCAGGTATTCTGTCCCGTGTCCAAATGTCAACATCTCCTTCCTTCCTTGACCTTGAGTTCTTGATTTGTAAACACTCTTGGAGGATGACATTTAATACCAGTCATGTGCTTAGAGCCACATTTAAGTACTCAAAAAACACAGAAGGAAAGCCAGTAGGCTTCAAGGTGGTAGGCAAGCACCTTTCCCTCTTCCTCCTATATGCCCTCCTTGTACCAACATCTAATAACATCTTCTTGCACCAACACTAATGACTCTGATTTTAGGATTTGTGACTTATAGATGCAGCCCTCTTCTGGTAGAGGAGGCCCAGTCTGGAGCTGTGTGATGAGTGTGAAGAGGACAGGTTGAGGTGGAACAGAAGTGAGATGCTGGCGGTGGAAGGGCACATGTCTGGGTGTAATTGTGGGGCCCAGCTGGTCTCAGGATATATCTCCTGAGGTCACATGGAGTTTTGAGCACTTTTCCATGAGTATCACAGAAAGGCAGAGTTTTTAAAATGTACAGTATATTATATTGCTCTTAAAAGTTTATTTCTAGCTGAATAAAGTTAGTAAGTACTCAGAGTAGGGAAATTAATAACTGTTAAAGACTCAATTTCATCCCTCTACTTTCCATCACTTTTTTCCTCACTCCCTTTCCTCTGTGTCCCCTGTGTACAGATTGAACACTTGCTGTGGGGTGACTCTCCCAAGGATCTTCCTCAATGGTGGGGAAAGATGGGGGCACAACTGCGATGGTTGCTTGACAATACTAAGTGCCTGAAACTAGTGTGTCTTGGTTGAGGAACAGAGAGGGGCATCCCCTTCCTGGCAGATGGAGAAACTGAGGCTCAGGGAAGGGTGAGTGTGGGATAGGGCTGAAGAGGCTCAGGTCTCCAGACTATTGCAATGTACTGTAGTGCTCAGGGAGGGCCATGAGGCAGGCCTCTGGGTCACTGCAGTGCCTTTACCCACCAGAATCTTGCACAGTAGCTGTGGCCCTTGAAAGGCTCAGTGGGGACCTGGGAATATTCCATTTCTGGAGGCTAGAGTTGCGATAGAGAGGGGAAGGGGAGGAAGGCGGTATGCAATCACTGAAGCTCACTCACATAGCTGTGAATGCTCACCCCATCCCAGGAGTGCCAGTGCACGTAGATCTTCAGTGCGCAGGGCCCTTGCAAGCTGGCTGGGAGGGGCCCTGGTGGCAAAATGAGTCTGGAGCCCTATCACCCTGTTTGCCTAGGAGGGGAAGAGACAGGCATCCACAGCTCCTCCTTCCTCTGCAGACACCGTATTTGTTATTGCCCTCCAAGAAAACGGAGATGCTCAGCAGAATCCTTTCCCCATCTCCGAACAACTCTTGCTATCATGTGAGTGAGTGTGGTCAGGAAGGCTTCCCAGGACACTTGGGTTTTAATCCCTTCTCTCTTGTTTCTGTCATTAGGGAAACATATGAGTGGTATAGGCATAGAAACTTGACATAGCTGTGTTATTAAATATACAATATAATTTTGTGTAACTTTGCTTGCTGTGGTGGCCTGTTTGTTTTTGGGGGGATTAGTCCAAGTCTGCATGAAATGTACCAATTCAAATTTGTAAAGTGAGTTGTGGCCTCTGGGGGCTTTTGATGGAGGAGCTGCCCCTTCTTGCTTCATTTCTCCCAGAGGTGAGGGAGAGTCTGGAAGGAAAGCCATCACTGTGTACTGTTCGGTAAGGGGGTGGATTTCTGTGGAGAGCGGGTGTTTGTTCCCAGTGGCTACAGGGTTTACTGTGTGTTGTGTGTGTGGCAGACACATTCACCAGCCTGTTGAAATACGCCCTTCTTTAGTGAAAGGTAATTGCATCTGGAGTTTTCTCTGACAGAGAGGTTTGAAAGATTGGGAAAAAAAGGCAGCCAACTTTCAGTTTAGATTCTTTTGGTTCCCAGTGGCTCAGCAATCCTTTGGCCCTAGGCTTCCTAACTCACTCAGTGCTTTTAGGGGAAGACAAATCAAAAGTAAATGTTGTGCCCCTGAGTTTTGCTTTTGCTAGTTGGTGATAAAGAGCTGGTCCCGAAGGGGATCCCTAACCTTGATAACCTGAAGAAAGACTGATGGATGACTTTGTTGTGTTTCACACTGTAGCTGATCATCCTGATGGTTTGACCCACAGATTTCAAGATCTGTCTCTTCCCCCTTCCCAGGGCCAGGGTCTTGCTCAGGAAAAGGCACCTTCTGTCGGCAAGGAGGGGCTCAGGGTCCCCCTTTGCCAGGCTGAAGAGCATGCTGGAGGGGGTCGCCTACGAGTGTGCCCTGGATGAGAATGTCAGGGACACAAAGACATTGTGGACGGGCCAGAGCCTGGCATGGCTGGAAGGGGTAGCAGGGTGTCTGGAGAAAGACGGGAACTCT